AATTTACATATTTCAACACAATGATTTTTAACTAAGTCTATGGACGAAGAAAAAACAAACAAAATATTTGCGAATACAAACACATTGAGAGCTATATGGCTTACATAACTCGGTGATTGCACATTATGACATTACACGAGAACGATTTCGTAACTGTAAAATGTTTATCGTATATTTGGTCGCTTTAGAAATCATACATATTGCGTATTAGCAGTACTATTATTTAGTATGTTCAAACAACTAGTAGTATTCGACAAGCATATCCAAGCTATCAAATTAAGGAAAAATTAAGGTTCCCTAGACTACAGCAAGTACAAATTAGCCTCTACCTACAGTTGAAATCGCAAATTWTTATATGGTACGAAGTCTTCGATATTGGAAACTTCGAGCTTTTCGTTCCGTCCATTGTGTCAGTGTTGACAGTTTGGTGTACYGATTATAACACGTTTGCAACGCCTCTGCAGTATCAAGCTGTTCACTCTAAATCTCGTTTGCGGCTTGTTATGAACTTGACAATACACAGTACGTAAAAATTCAAAGCACACCTCAATAAGCTTCCAAGTTTAGGTTTTTAGCTTCTCATACTGACCTCACTAGTTTCATTCAAGGACCATTCTGGTTAATCCTAAACTTTATATCAGACATTGTCAAGATCTGATGTCCTTGAAAAACTTGAAACCTTTTAATGACCTTTCAAATGTAGTATGAATTACATTGATTTTCTATATATTAATTAATAAATGATATTTGTTTCTTCAAGGAGGCTGTTGACGATGGATGGACAACTGTTCCAAGAAGAAATGGAGGTAAATACAGTTATCAATGTTACTGCCTGTACATTACACTTTTTCAACAGCCACTATGCTGCATGGAAGTTCCTAATACATTTGACTTTGGTCTGGAGCTTTTCATACATGTTTTMCTTTTTTCTTAAAAGGCCGAGGAGTCAACCCAGTCCTTGACTATTCTATGAAAGCAGCTGGAMGAGGAAGGGGAAGATCTAGATGAAGTAATGATTAACTGCTTATCCAGAGAACTGTAGTTTATTAGATCATTTAATAAGTGTACAAAGGTGATACAGAACAATATTTAAATAACACCTCAGCTAGATTACTCTTTTGGCATTACATCCTCAAAATAAACTATGAAAGGGTGAATTCTATCATCTGGTGTACCCAGAGWAGTGTAGTTTGTAGTTTATATTTTTCTAGATCTATTGCATTAGCTTTTCTCTAGTATAATGTACGTGATTATAACACATGAAATTGTTAAGTTTTTTTWAAACAAATCTAACATCTAACAAATTGATTCAGAATTATTTTCCTGTTTATTAAAATAGTTCATTTTGCTTTGATAATTAAATAGAAATTTTTACCTAAATTTCAATTATTTCTAATTTCCATCAGGAGTTTGTGACATTACATTTGCGCTCGAATATGAAACAAATTGTTATCAACTGTTATGAATAAAAACACTAGAAATGACCAGGGAACATAGTGAACATGTGAAATAGGAACTATTTGTTTGTATGTTATGCTATTTGACAGTAAATCTTGTTAATTAAGAACAGTGGTCTTTCAAAGGATGCCCTGTTTCAGTTGCAGAACTGATGCAAATTTTGTGCTGTTTTGAATTACAACAATTTAACAGTTCACTCCAGCCTTAACCTGAGTATCAGGCCTTCAAGGAGGCCTGGGGCGGCAAGGAAGGGAAAAAGGAAGAGCTCTCCCTTTTCTTCTCCTTCTATATTTCCCCCTCAAGAGCCTGATACTCAGTTACTGTACGCACTAGACAGTTCTCCTTTAGTAAATATTTTTGAAGTTTTAATGAAATAAATGACATATTGCTACCRTGTGAAAAGTTTATTATTTTTTTATTTTTRTTTATATTTTAAAATGATAATCGTCATAATGTTTTACCCAAATTACCATGGTGACACAGGACAAGGTGCAACACCGATTTTWTTAAGCTTATTCCAWTTAATTTTGTTTATTRACACAAAGCCAGTTGACATTATCATCCAGTGGTAGATGCCAAGTATTGGCCGTCATCTGRACAATAGGATCAKGACATGGGTGTCTCTGAAACATAAACATTACATTAAAAACAAATATTGAATAGCCGACTTGCGAATTTTGCCTCAGGAGTCTCACACAAAGGAATCAAGACAAAGCGCTATGCATAAAGCTAAATCATTTGTAAAAAAAAAAAACAAATAGTTTTTCACAATACACRTTTTCAGTTGCTCTTAGGCCTCGACAGTGTGTTAAATATTCTTTTGAATTTGTAGGAATGTGAGCAATGCAAACATTGATATGAATAGTCTCATTTGTCAAATTCAAAAGAATAATTAACTTGCTATCGAGGCCTAAGTGCAACTGAAAAGGTGTATTGACTGAGCTTTATGCGCGGCGCCTTGTCTTGATTCCTTTGTGTTTGACTACTGAGGCGAAATTTGCAAATCGGCTATTCATATGTATGGCTGAGAAATAATGGACGAATGAATGGCCGGAAAAAACTTAGTATTCTCTCACATTTTTACTCATTTTGATTTATAGTTAAAAATTTTAAAGGTTWAAAAAAAAACTTACTGAAGAATTATTTTACAAGTAAAGCAGTAACTTTGAATATTTGAAAGAAGCACGATAGGAGGCCAATTATTTTGTATGTTTTGTGAAGTAATCCATTACTCAATCAAATCAGCTCAACGAGATAATACAAGACATACCTTAAAACCAAATGTATCTCCTTTGCGAATTGTTAAAAGAATCTGATTGGATCGCAACCATCTGCCCAACAATGTTTGTGCACTTAATGGCAGCTTGTTCATGTGGTCTTGAAATAAATCATTGGAGACTAAAAGAGTATTGAGCCCACAGTGAATAGCAGCGAGCAGTATAAAGATGTCATCTTGTACTCTAGAAGAAGATATCAATAATGCTAAACATAATGTTTCATTATACTTCTACTGTATTACAGATAAWGTTGAGGAGAAGCCGAAGGGTTCCTGGGAGAAATATATCTGTTCTTAAGTCCCAGCTGCAGCTGTAAGTCACAACTGGTTGCCAGCGAGAAATTCATAAAAAAAAAGAACTCTCCAGACAAGGAACTCTTTCTAAGAAGTTTTGCCTGAGGAAAATAAAACTTTCCTAACTCAAAAAAAAAGCCATTTTTGACCTTAAAAACATTTTCCAGGAACAAAATTATTTTAAAGGAGGAAGTAAGAAAATGTGTGCCAATAATAATATTATTACATCTATCTGGAAATTCATGATAATCTTCTGTGTAAATTTTGCATGGTAAGAATGGCCACCCACCCCCACCAAGTGACAGTTAYGTTTCAGTGTATCTTAAGGCCACTGATATCAAATAAYATGCAAACACTTCCTCATTATAGCACAAAATATGGTTTGATACCTGCCGCTAAGTAAGAAAAATCCACAGTTTTTGAAGATTGAATTAGTGTTTCCTTCTTCAGATGAACTTTGCCTAGTTTTTGGTAACGGAATTGGTGGCGTACCAACAACTAGAACTCTCTTTCCTTCATTAAGAAAGTGCCTGGCTGTTTCCTCAACCTGGGATCAGTAAGAAAAGAAAATATGTTGATGTAATTATAGCTTCCCTATTTGTCACTCTAAAACTGTATACTATTGTTATTTCATTTACTAACTAAAYAACTTTTCAAGACACCAGATTCTGTAAGGTGCCCCCCCTTTCACAACGCTAAAGGCTGCATGGTGCTCCCCCCTGGATCCACCCCTGAGAAATGCCATAATTTCACAAACCTGTTTAGAACGAAATTCTCTTCTGTTTCCACRGTGAGCCACATTGAGAGCATCTAATACTATATCATATGGACCAGTCTCGTGGATATATTTCTCTAAGCTGAACGGCAATTTGTGGYCAATCTCAGGGCAGTATTGATCTTCAAAAATACCAATCGATGTGTAAGACTTCACCTTTYTTCCTTTGTGGTTTTGCCACAGGTAGTTTACAAAGTGTTGTTTTAGAACTTCATGCTCTGATTTTGATAATGAACCAGACTCTAAMRTGTACATACAGGACTGACAAACTCCACTGAAGTAAAGATTAGAAGAAAGGATTAGAGGGGGAAAGAAACATTGTGTTGTTTKTTTTACGTAAATAATTTTACCTTGAATGAACTGTTGACCAATTGACAACCCACTTTTCCTCATGTTGACTACAAAGAGACAATAAATTCAACTWATAGTTTTCAGACAATCACAATAAATAATAATAATAATAATGATCATCATGCATTCCTTTAATATAGCATTTTTCAAATTTCTTAATGTAATTCTCAGAAAAAAATAGTATTTAAAAACATGGGATGCCAATAAGCAGGGTACAATTGTAATGTCTACAATGTTTAGATAACGCTGACACACTCACAGCATTGACTTCAGCAATGTCTTAAACTAATAATAATGATACTACCTTTCAAACCAATCCTTCAAAGTCTGTGAAGTATCTTGAGATAGCATTATTCTGTTTGCTCTCATGTTATGGAACATTTCAAGGACTTTGGTTCTCCATTTCTGCCCCTCATTACTATTCATAACTCCYTCAATAACAACCGAATCAAACTCGTGGCACATATAGTGTTCTTCCTTCAAKTCATCGTATAATTTAAACAGAGTTTCGAGTCTCCCTGTACTTGCAGCTAACCTAATCAATGGATAATAATTTCTAGGTGTCGTTTTTAACCCTTCTGMTTTCATCCCTTTCAAGATTTCGATGCCTTTATCCAGCATTCCTAGTTGTGAGTAGTAAAGCACAATGTTGTAGTACGTAGATGCGTTTCGATTAATGTTATATTGTGTCATTTTCGAGAGCTGAAGTTCARCAAGTGCGCTGTGGTTGTTCTTGATAGTATAATGAAGAATACAATTAAATACAGTAGTTAAGACAGTTGTAGTGCTCGCATATTTTTCTAATAAACTCTCTAGCAAAGCCATAGCTTCAGTAAATTTACCATCTTCGCAAAGCTTTCGTATTTGGTAGCTTTTAACCTTGAATTCTGAACGTTTTGACTTMGATTCTTTAGGCAATTGAGGCTGAGTTAATATGTCTACCTTGTTGACGACACTAGTATTCCACAAATGTCTTACATATTGAGGTCTGACCAATAATCTAGCCAATTCTAGCTTTTCAAATACCATTCTTTGGTGTATTGATCCATTAAGAGGACGCAAAAGACGAAAACAACTAAGAGATCCAAAACACGTTCTGCGGGCCGCCATGTTGAATATGAGCCGATGTTCGTACGGTACAGCGGACATTTTTGACGCATTACGGAGGGGTGGGAGAGTCACATTTCGTGACTTTTTATTAAAATCCCTCCTGCGTGGTATAACTTTCAAACAAACTTAATTATTTACATTTTCATTCTATAATCGCTTCGAAACAACGTTGGTTCCCTGCTGGTCTGTGGTCAAATTACCATAACGACATGCCAATTTTATGAGAATTACCGAGGGGGGTGGTAACAGTAGGAGAGGATAAAGTGATTGCCACCTGCTTMAATTGTACCGCAAAAACTAAACACTTTCAAAACAGAATAATGAATGATTGATGAACGGTGACACTGCCGATGGCAACTATTCTAATCCACTCACAGCTACAATCGTCAATAATTCTGTACGTACACCATTTTATTGGATTTTGAGAGACGGATATAATTTGGTGTGCGTGCGGTAAAAAAAAAAAAAACACGGACCTCAAGTTAATCGCCTCAAGCGAAAATCGATGACGCGAAGAATCATTAAAAACTCCTTGGTATCACAGACGCAAAGGCCGTTGGAATAGACTAGATCGATGTCTAAAAGTAAAATCAATCCGATTACGTTTGATAAACCAATCGCATCGTACAAAAGTTGAATTACCAATATTACGGATAGTGTCATCCCGGCACGCAACAGCTATAAATAGACATTGTGAATGACCATGAAATATTCATCGACTTTGTCCTACGTTGAGCACACGGAYTTATTGTTATTGTGAGTTTCAGGCCTTTTAAACAGCTGATATCAACGTTGTGTTATCTACTGAGGGTGAAATCAACAAAAGACAAAAATACCTCCCTAATCGACGGCAAAGATCGCTGAAAACAGTCAAAGTTTGGATGACATAGACGATATAGTCGCTTGAGAGACCTGCTTAAAACCATAACATTCCTGAGTGAGAAATTATTACAAGATTTTCAAACGTTTCAATATGGATTCTGGTGTGATTAAACGCTGGAAAACGCTCGAAAGTCTTTCTGTGGAGGATTATTTCGATGATATCACACAGATAAAGCGCTGGGCATCGTCAGGAAAGTTGATGGAGTCAGCAAATAATGCCACAAGATGGGAAAAAGATTCTCGTATCCCTGGGGTAGTATGCGGAGTCTGTAGTCAACGTTTCAACAGACCAAAATTACTACCCTGTCTTCATAGTTTTTGCCAAAGCTGCATAGAAAGTTTAGTGAAATTATCCGAAGGAAATGAAAGCAGACTTGAAATTGTGTGTCCTAGTTGTACAACGCAAAGTAAACTTCCCGAAAAAATCGAAAGCTTGCCGACGAATTTCTTATTAATTCAAACGCTAATCGAATTGGATGCTTCAGAAGAGAAGGAGAAACCGCTAGTGATATGTGCGAATTGTGAAGATGCGTCGCGTGCGACTRGCGTATGCGTTCAGTGCGCGGAATTTTTGTGYGAAAAATGCACAAATGCGCACCGTCGYGTRAGGCTTACGCGAGAACACTGTATTACACCACTAGCAAGTCAAAGTAGGTCTGGCACCACTTCAGAGAGTCAGCCAAGTGCCTGTCAGGAGTTGACCAAGTGTTCTAAGCATACGCAAGAAGATTTAGCKTACTTCTGTAAGTCATGTAGAACACTCATTTGCCGTGARTGTACGGTMAACGAGCACGAGAAAATGTCTCACGATTTTGAACCGTTACACGATACAAGCGAAAYCCAAAAGCAAAAAATGGCAGCTTTAATAGGCAARGCTAAAGTACGCCTACCATTCATGCGTAGGACGTTGCTAGAAATTGAACATGCCGCAAATGAGCTGCCAAGACACGTAGAAGCCATTACGGAGGAAATTCAGGATTCTACAATGCGCTACGTAAGAGCATTACGCGAACGTGAGTTTCAGCTCCTAGACGATCTCGATGCTATACGTGAATACAAGGCAACTATYCTAAAGGAACAGAAAGAGAAACTGTTACGTAAAGTCGAAAGTATAGAAAGCGCTTGTGCGTTTACGCAACGGTTGCTAAACGAAGGCGATGCGTTACACGTTGCGGTGGTGAGTGATTATGCAGTGGAGAGATTACACGAGCTCAACATGGACAACAGTGACATTCAGCCGGCAGAAGGACCAGACGTAGAGTACGTTACGCAAGAAGACGTACTATTTGACGTKATAAACACTGGCGGTAAAGTTGAAAACAGTACTCGTTTCCGTAAGGTCCGCGTTCTCGGGGAAGGYTTATTTGAGGCGTCGGTAGGTAAGCCTTCTACGTTTACTGTTGCGTTTGATGATGGAATGGCGAAAGAGGACCTAGACATACGAATCGAGACGCCCGACGGAGTGATTTTATCGTGCGACATTACGCAACAGAGTAAAGATATTCTCTGCGTTAGCTATACGCCCAAAATTTACGGAGAGCACGAGATTTCCATACAAGCTTACGGAAAACACGTAGAGGGAAGTCCATATATAATTGACATGAAAAAAGGCCACATGAKTTATTCAACTAAGAGCAGCCCTGTTTGTTTGCGTTTTGGAAACAAGGGCACTGGACTGGGAGAAACAGAATCCCCAACCGACGTGGCAGTGCGCAGCAACGGCTCCATCGTTGTCTGCGATTCAGGCAACCAGCGGATACAATTCTTTGACAGTAGAGGGGTTGTMTTRAATCAGTTTGGATGCAAGGGAAGCGAGCTTGGGAAATTTGAAAACCCGACAGGCATCTGCATTGATCAAGGCGGGAATATAGTGGTATCTGATCAAACTATAAATAGAATCCAAGTGTTCACGGTYGAGGGTGTACTTCTTCGACATTTTGGTCCCAAATGCGGCAATTCCAATGAATTGAAGGGCCCTCTAGGCGTGGTTGTCGACGAAGAGGGACAAGTTCTAGTGGCAGACCAATCAAATCACAGAATTGTAGTGTTTGACAATAAGGGTTATTTTATRCACGARTTTGGGTCCCTGGGGACCAACGATGGTGAATTCAATAACCCATCATTCATAGCTGTCAATCAAGATGGAGAAATCTTCGTAACGGACTCGTGCAATCATCGGGTGCAGTTATTTGACATGACTGGCAAATACATTGGAAAATTTGGAAGGCCTGGGACTGGAAATGGAGAATTTCAATACCCATCAGGCATTGCGATCGATGCATCTGGATACATCTTTGTTACTGATCGAACCAATCGTATTCAAGTGTTCAATCAGCACTATCGWTATGTATGCAATTTTGGCGGGAAACAAAGTGGTGATGGACAGCTTAGTTCTCCTACAGGACTTGACTATACACCTGAGGGTCGTGTTGCAGTGGCAGATACCGCTAATAACTGCGTCAAAGTATTCTATTTACCTAAAGACCAGACATAGTTGAAMGATTGCTATGGATGRTGCTTTTATGGCAGCATCCGCCCCAAGAATTA